CCCCCCCAAGCGAACCTAGACTACCCAGGAGCTTGGGTTCGCGAGGAACCCAAGAGCTTGGGTTCTGCGCAAACCTGCGAGCTGGGTTCCTTGCGAACCCAAGCTCTTGGGTTCCTCGCAAACTCGCGAGTTGGGCTCGTTGCAGGCTACAGAGATGCTGCTATAGAACTTGGGAAAGAATTGGTGAATGTCTCTCTGTTTTTGCTCTGTTCTTGGTTTGTCTTAGAAGTGCTTTCTCTTTGGTATCTCCTCCGGTTTATTTTGATTTTTTCAAAGGGTTTCTTCTGCTGTTTGCTTCCATCCTTTGTTTTTAGAACAAATTCAACTTGTGTTGAAAGTTCTTTCTTTTCTCGTTTCATTCCGCAATCTACCTGATGAATCTGTTTTCGATTACCTTCTGAGTGTTTCTTGTTTCAAAATTTCCAATATTTCTAGTTTCTATTCAGATTTTTAAGTTTTCAACGTCATTTCTAGACTAAACTTGTTTCCAAGGTCCAAACTTTTTTAAGAAATCAAATGAGATGCCTTTTAAATCAAACATGTTTCCAAGGCTAATACTGAGTTTTCCTCACCTTTTTCCGTTGAAAGGTTTCAAGAAATATCGATCTGGTATATAGAGGAGGCAGTATTGGTTTGATGGGCTTAGTTTCCCAGGCTGTTTATAACGGTGGCCGCCATGTCCTTGGGTGAGCATATTCCTCTCCAGACTTATCCTTTCTTTACCATTTTCTTTTTCATGAACATTTAATCAAAGGGGTTTGTTTTGCTTTGATTTCCATCTTAACTTTCTGTCATGTTTCTGTCTGTAGAGTGATCCCCAAGACACTTATGCCTAGAGAGTTATCACCTCTATTCTATCTATACCCCAATATTGTATTTTATCAAGTTTTCAAAATACAATTTTTTGGGGAAAACAGAGCATTATCTACATCTCTACAATTTTTTGGTTGCTAATTTTAGTGATGATTTTAGGCAATGCTTCATGTCTATGGTTAGAGATTGAGTTGTTGAGGTGAAAGATATTTTCTTTTGAGTTGGATATGTGTCTTTTGTTCCAATTCTTTTTAAAATTTCAAGATGCATTCCATGATATACAGTAATATATGAAGCATGTGACGAACCCAGACTCGTGGGTAGCCTGCAACGAACCCAGCTCGTGGGTAGCTTACGACGAACCCAGCTTGCGGGTTCGCGAAGAACCCAGGTTCCTGGGTAGCCTGGGTTCGCCTATGGGGTAAAAGGAAAAAAAGAAAAAAAAAAATGGCCGGAGGAAGTGGAGTCCACATGGAGAGTGATGTGGAGTCTACGTGGAGGATGACATGGAGTCCACGTAAGCATCTTTTACATGTTGGCATATCCACATCAGCTGTTTAAGTTAAGTTAACAGCAAAAATTAACGGAAAGACCAAAAAGGGGCTGGATTTATGAACAGTAATGACTAAAAAAGGGATTTCTTCGGTACAAGGGTCAAAAAGGGGCTTTTTCCTATAGTAGAGGGACCAAAAAGGGTATTTAACCTATATGTAAATGAGTCTATTGATTTTTGACTCCTTCACTTGGCTTGTTCCTTCATGTGTTACCTCCAACATGTCCTACATCTCTTTGGCCGTATCACATCCGGATACTCTATAAAATTCTGTTGGATTGAGAGCACATTGAAGCATATTGATTGCTTTGTTGTTGATCATGATCTTCACCAAGTCTTCATCATTCCATTCAACTTCTTCCTTTGGCACCTCACTTTCCCCAACTACTTTCATAGGCACATATAGACCTTTCCTAGTCACAATCCATGACTTGGGCACATTTGCAAGCATGAAGACCTTCATCCTATTCTTCCAATAATTATAATTAGTACCATCAAAGAAAGGAGGCTCAGTGGTAGACAAACCTTCAAGTGGTTGAGAAGTTTGAAATTGAATCATCCTTGATCAACTCCTAGGTGGTTAAACCTTCAAATTGGAGCCCTTGCTCTGATACCAATTGTTGACTCAATGTACTCCAAGAGAGGGGGTGAATTGGAGTTCCAAAAATTCTCCCATTTTTGCAACCACAAAATCAGAATTAAAGAGAGTAGAGAAGAAGAGCTTGCTCAATGATTTATAAAGGTTCAGTCCAACCACTTGGAGCCTAATCCTCTACCTTGGCTTTACTTACCAAGGATTTCCTCCATACTCTCTATTAACAACAATAAGGGTGGCTTAAAGGAGTCACTCAATCCTTTTACAAGAAAAAATGTGTTTCTCTCAAATCCCACCCCTTTACACTTAAACCCCACGAATCCTCTCTACAAATCACTCTTGAAGGATTAATCACGCCCTCAAGATCACTCACAAATAGAACAAGAAGAGGATTACAAGTAAAGATCTCTCAAAGATCAAAAACTCAAGTTAAAGCTCATGTAGGTAGGTAAATATATTCAATACAATGCTCTTTAAATTTCTTCAAATCTGTTACCAACCATATTTATAGCCCCTTGCTAAAAAATAACCGTTTTTAGCCATTGGGGGTCATTAAATGCTCTGCAGGACGCAAAGCTCAAGTTGCAAGATTGTCAAGAGAGCCGGCTTAACTTTCTAGAGCCGACTCAGCACAACCGGCTTTGCAGGATTCCTCCACATTTTGTTTTCTTCCACAGCCGGCTTTGGGATTCCAACTTTAAACACATTAAATAATCTTCAAATAACTCGACTGTTGTGCATTAAATACATCCTCACAGCCAGCTGCAAAGTTGGAGCCAGCTGCAAAGTTGGAGTCAGCTGCAAAGTTGGAGCCAACTTTGCATCTTTTCTCTGCGCATGCCAAACAATAGTTGAATTTTTTGCCTATAAAGCCGGCTCAACAAAATCTGCAGCCGTCTCTTCGCATTTTTGCTTTCCAGAGCCAGCTGCAATTTTCTTAAGCCAGCTCTCTGCATATTTTTACCCTTTGAACCCTTTTTAATGCAATCTCATTTTGCTTACTTTGCAGTATATTGGTAATATAACTACACACTTAAATAAATCAATTAGTCACTCAAATGCGTTTTGTAATTATCAAAATTATAAGTACAACAGTAACTAATTATTTGACGTTTTTTCTACACTGTAGTATCAAATTTTATTTGGTAAAAAATACAAAGAAATATATTATATTATAACTAGTTATTTGACATTGTTATTATTTGATATTATAATTCAATGTTAAATATTTTTCCATTATAGTAGAATTATTTTTTGCCAAATTTATTAGACACTACATTGAGGTGTCAAGAAGACGATACTCTTGCATAACCATCTCCAATATTGAAGTACGATGTTAAATATAAAATAAATAAAAAATTAATAAAGGTGTTTCAACTAGATAGAGTTCCATGTATTTTATATTAAATGCTTCTATTAAATTCCAAAAGGCATTTGAGAGATTTAAAGAAGAATACCCACCTTCTATTTGTAATGTTGAGAATAGGTTCCTACAAATGAAGATTAGCAAAAGTCAAATGTGTTAGTAAAATTTTTAAAGGAATTTTACGGGGCTACTAAGAAACTATTTGGGACTTTGTACATCACTTCCAATTCATATTTTATGCAAGTTGGTGGTTATTGAAAGGACATTGAGTAATTGGGCTCATAATTTAGAGCCATATCTTCGATCAATGGGCTTAAAAATAAGAGAGAAATTTAACAAGCATTGGGGAGGCACGGATTAAGTCAATGTGCTTTTGCTAATTGTTAAAGTACTGTTAGATCCTTGTTACAAATTAAAATACGGTTAAGTTTTTCTGCACATATTATGTCTACTATACATTACTTTGTTAAAATTTTAACCCCGGGCTTTTCCCATTGATTCAACAAAACCCAACTTGCTTTCTAAAACCTCTGGAAATAAAGCAGTCAACCTTTACGCAGTATACAAGAAAACGAAATCTGCATGCCTCTGAGAAAGATATGAGTGGAACATCTGAAATTTTAGCATTTGAATCTGCCGTTCTATCCTCCTTTATTGTGCTATTCAATATCTGACCAACTATACCCAGAATGAAAGGCAAAAAAATGAAAAAAGAAAAAGAAAAAAATGCACACACTCACTCTGAGAAGGAAAATGAATTTTTTAAAGAAAAATACTAATTCTCTCATCGTTGCCTCTCAATTTTTGGAATTTTATATCATTGTTGAATTCTTCAAAAAATAAAAAAGAAAAGGGAATGCCACAAATAGAATTGTGTATAAGATTGAACAAAGTGATCATAATATTTTGTACAAATTCTTCTGAATTCCCCTGGTTCAAGCGTTGGTCTCCATATGAAAAATCTGCATTGTGATTATTTTTCTCTATCTCTCTAAATAAACAGACTCTTTACAAAAATAGAAAGAATAAACTTACTAAAATAAATAGGCAAAGGCAAGATCAAATAATCATATCACATTAAATTTGTCAAACAAAAAAAATAAATGCAGAAGCCAAACTTCAACAGATTTAAAGAAACATCAAAGGATATCTTTCTTAGATTTGTCCCACTATTGGAAAATCATTCATGATAATCAAAAGGATTCCATGACATGCATTAAAGAACTAGCTCACCCACGTGGGATTACAAAACCAAATTGAAAGAAGCTAATTTAGATTAAAATAAAAAATAAAAAAAGGGAGAAAGGATAAAGGGACTAATTTAGATCAAACCAACTTGAGATAAAAACTGAAGCTTTAATTTTCATCAGATGGCGCCTAGATGTAGGGTCACCGAATCATGCCAAAGAGACCTAATTTTCCCAATCCAAACGTACAGATTTTTTAATTTTTCTTAAATTTAGAAGAAAAGAGTTATCCTTTATTTGAAACCTATTAGGAAATTCATCTTTTAGCTGTTTCCAAATATAATTCATGTATAATGATGCATCTAATGAAAAGGTCTTAACTATCTCTATTCTTCAGTACCATGCGACTTTATGTACTGAAGTACCTGTATATTTTTTCATCAGATTTAGTAAAAATAGGGATATAATCTTTCTAAAATTTTCTAATTAAAGGTATGACCTTGTTTACACCTAAAATAAACCAATAGGGTAAGGCCACATGTCAAAGTAAAGCCCAATCATCAAGAAAATCAATAGGCTGAATTTGGGCTGGGCTGGCTTACAATTTAATGGCCCAGACGGATTTTCAAGGAGGTTGGATCTTAGGTGGCAGAAGATAAGATTGGATCTGGTAGTTTGAGTTTAATTTAAAATGGAAAATTGAGGATTTTTAGGTAGTTATCTTTAAGGTTGTTGGAGATAAGGTTAAATAAAAATCGAATAACTATTAAATAACTGCCAGACCTGCAATCCCATTACTAGATCATGGAGGAACAGTACCGAAGATCATGGAGAAGATCATGGAGGAGGTTACCAGCATCAAAGGGAACAAAAACAGAGAGAAGAGAACAGTTCAAGGCCTGCCCAGCACACACACAGACTGCCCAGAGCATGTTTTTCAGCTTTCAGACTGCATTTTCCAGATTTCAGCAATAGTTTCCAGATTTTCCAAATTTCCCAGATTTTCCAGATTAGTTCATAGCCTTAGCCTAGGTTTGTTCACCATATTTTCTTCTGCAAATTCCAATTTAGATTAGTTTTTAAACATTTGGAAGCAACTTAACCTTAAAAACAGGTCTGCCCTTTTGATCCGGTTAGTTCTTCTTCCTTTTATGGATTTAGTTATGTTATTTGTTCATGTAAATAGGATGAACAGTTTCTACCTTTGTTCTTTTGTTTCTGCATAAAATCCAGACATGCAATTTGTTTCATTTCAATTTCCATATTTAAATTTATAAGTTTCCAGACTTTAATCATTTCATAGTTTCTTCTTCAATTTTAGTTATCGTTATGGGCTGCGTAGTGGAAATCATTGTCTGTTATTTAACTTTTTCTGTTGTCTGCAAATTTAATCTTTATGGCATGTTATTTTTTGTTATTTACTTCATATTATTTTAATTGCTTTAGGATATTGCATTTATTTTAGGATTTGTAGCTTTTATTACGCTTGTTTGGTTGTGAAGTCCTTGGAGGTTTCCAAGGCAATTAGTAACCCATTTTGCAGAGCTCTACCCTCTATTTTGCAACATCGTCTGGGGCGCAATTCATTTCACAGACGTTCTTTCCAGCCATCCTATTGGAGGTCGACCGTTGGAAAGGAGAAGGGTCGTCTGGAAAATCCTATTTTCTTGTTTTTAGACAAAGCAAGTGGCACGCCTAACATCTAACTCACGTGGTAAAGGTCGGTTGAGGATTTTTGAGGAAACAATCCTTTGTTGGCACGCCCAGTGGGACCACCAGCAGGATGTATCAATTACAGTTCACAAATCCTCTGTTCATACATTCAGAGGCGTCTAAAGCCATGCCACCGAGAAAGAGCAGAGACAAAGAGGTTCAGCCAGCCCAGGCTGAACATGCAAATGATCCCATCACTTTTCTCCCAGTGTCACCTTTGGCAAAACGGTCCTATGGCAACCCAATTTTCAAAGAAAGGGATGCAGACCGTGGGGGTGACTTTGCTGAATCAAGTGATGTGTTTAGAGGTATGACTGAACGTCTGGATTTAGCATTCAAAGAACAGAACCAGGCTATGCAGAGACTTGTTGAGAGTCAAGCAGAATTTTCCAGACGTCAGGAAGAGACAATTAGACAATGTATGTCTGAACTGAGACAAATTTTTGAAAAAGGCACTAACATGATGCGTGAAACTGGAGATGAGAGTCGTAGAACACTGCAGGCTGTTTTAGAACAAGTAGTTGAGCAAGTGCGACAGCCCAGACCTGAGATTCCTCCTCCAGTCGTTGAAATGCCCAGACAGATTCAAGAAGCCCCAATCCCAACACTCGGGGGGCAAGGGAATCAACCTCATCCTAATATTCAATAGCAGCATTTTGTCATTGGTGAAAGGCAAAGACAACACGAACTGATGGAGGCTGCTACTCTTGTTGCAAACCATGGCCATCAACCTCAGCATAAGTATATTCTGCCAGGTAGGAAGGGCAATGTGGGTCCTCATCATCAACCTTGTCCAAGGGACTTTTTCCAGCCACAAGTTCCTCCAGCCCAGCCGGTACGACGTGGTCTGCAGAATCAACCAACTCAATTCTTCAATAGAGACCATGGGCCAACCTTAAGGCCATTGGAAAAGATTGATAAGGACATATTGAGATTTCCAGACAAAGCGAAGGAAATCATGGGAGTGGATGCAGATCCTTTTCCAGCTGTGTCTGTGGGCGTGAATGTTGCAGACCTCAAGAGTGTTGCCAGAAATCGCAGTCTGCCTTATGCTCAAAAGAACCTTGCTGCAGAAGACTTAAGGTGGGTTCTTGAGGCGCAGAGATCCAGACAGAGCAGGAGCGTCAGGTCAGACCAGCAGAGGCTCGGGGGGCAAGAAAGGATCACTGTGACCAGGAACTTCAGTCCAGAAGGTGCCAGACGTTATTCAACTGGTACTAGATCTCCAAGGATGGTCAAACCGCCACTCAGGTCACCTTC